GTTCTTTGGTCATGTTATAAGAAGAAATGAGTTCTTGGAGAAGGATATCATGCTTGGTAAAGTAGAGGATCAGCAAAAAAGGGGAAGACTTTCAATGAGATGGATTGACACAGTGGCTGCAATGATGGGCTCAAGCATGGCAATAATGATTGTAAGGATGATTCAGGATCAGGCACTGTTTCATTCTGTTGTAGTTGGGTCACTATGAGTTGGGACTGACTCCATGACACCTAGTAACAATAACAGCAAGGTGAGTGACTATTCCCTGATGGCTATTCTCAATTTTACTGGCATCAGAAGTAGTTCTTCCTTCTTTATCCCTCTAACAGAGCTTAAATCGAGTTGTGGTTTTCTTCATAGGGCAATCATATCTGCCAAAAGCACAGTATGTATCTATCGTTGTTGTTATTAGGTGCCATTGACTTGATTCTAACTGATAGCTACTCTGTGTACAACAGAATGAAACACTGCCCAGTCCTGCACCATCCTCACCATCCTTACCATCCTTATTATGTTTGAGCCTATTGCTGGCAGCCACTGTGTCAATCCATTTCATTGCGTGTCTTCCCCTTTTTCTCTGTCCCTCCACTTTATATCCTCCAGGTTCTGGTCCCTTCTGACAATATGACCAAAATAGGTGAGACGGAGTCTGGCCATTCTTGCTTTTAAGGAGCATTTTGGTTGTACTTCTTCCAGGACAGGTTTGTTTGTTCTTATGGTAGTCTTAGCAGCTTGGAAGACAGTGAGAGATCATAGTACATGGGTGTACTCAGTTGGCACTGACCTTCACAGAAGAAAGTTGGTTAGACCCCTGTTTCAGAGTATTCAAATTTTTTTGTGGACTAATATATGATAGAGGGGGGACTTGTAAAGAAGTAGGTAGGAAACCTTTCTTAGAGTCTTGACAGAATTAAACATTGAAGTCATCTGTGCCTGGAATGTTTTTTGTGTGTAAGAACATTCTTGATAATGAATTAAATTTCCTTAATAATAACATTCATATTTTTAAATTTTTTCTTGTGTCAGCTCTGTCATTTTGTGTTTTCCAAGGAATTTGTTTAATCTAAATCAGCATGGATAGCCTGTCTCTCTTTGTGATTTGTGCTTTCAGCAGTTTTAGGCTTTTTACAAAAAGAATTTCCAAAGAATTTTATTTTAATATTTCATTGATTTCTACTTTTATTATTTCTTTTTTCTATTTACATACAGTTTAATTTTATCTTTTTTCTAGTTTCTTAAGGCATATTGTCCTGGTGGAAATATAGTTTTGTAGTATTAGATGGTTTAGTGTATGAGGTTTAAGGGAAAGAGTATGTGAAGTGAGAAGCAGACTGGTAGCTCCAAAATGAAAATATAGCTTACGTATGTAAGGGTAACTTACTGTAAGAAATGTTTAAAACTTCTAACTTACTACAAGGAATGGCTGAATTTTGGTCATTGTTGGATATTGTTTTGTGACATCAAACTGAATGAAGCAGTCGGTAGTGCTGTAGCATGTGACAGTGTCTCTAGTGGCTTTCTGTATTACAGATATAAATTTGTAATACACAGTCATACTTTCTCTTTCATTTATTAACTGAGAAAGAGAATTGTGTATTTTTGAGGTTTTTTTTTTTTTGGTCTTTTTGTTACCTTACTGATTTTGGAGCTTGAATGATTTCAGTAGTGTTTTTAACTCTGGCATATCTAGACTGTAAAATTCTTAAGAAGCAGTATGATGCTAATGATGACAGATGTCTGGCATATAATAGTTTTCTTTCCTATGAGTAAATTATTTTTTCTGCTTACAAAAGTAACACATGCTTATTGTAAGATATTTAAAGCTATCAGAAGGATATGACATAGAAAATTAAATCCACCTCTTACCCTACTCTCCAGTATAACTTCCTCTAACAGTTTAGTATATATTTTACCAATTTTTTAAATCCATGTATACATTAACATGTTATAAAAGAATTCTCCATTGTGCATTAAATTACATTTTGAGTGAGGTCTAGAGTCCTCTGGCCTGCAGAGTGCTATGTGGTCTAGTCCTTGGATAGCTCTCAAACTCTGTTACCTCCCTTTCATTCACTGTGCTTTAAATTAAATAATTTCCTTGCAATTTTTTTTAGCAAGTCAGATGCACTACTGTTTCTTAGTCTTTGTGCTCACTATTTCTTTAACTTGGAATATTCTTTCATGAGATAGTCACACATTCTCTCTCTTACTTCAGTCAGATCGCTTTTCAAATTTTATTAGTTGCTGTCTCCAGTTATCATGGAAGAAAAATCAGGTAGTCTGCTTCTGCAAAGATTTACAGCCTTGGAAACCTAATGGGGGTTGCTGTGAGTCAGAATCAACTTAATGGCACTAAGTTTGGTTTGGTTGAGTTTTATTCCCAGTTATAAGAAATAATAAAACTACTAGTATATTTTTATTTTCTCCTTCCATTTCCTGTTTCTAATTATCTGACTTTAGTCAGCAATATTTTCTTACTGTTAACTTTGTCTTGATAAAATAAGACTACATTTCTACTTGATTTTTCAGCTTTGAATAATATCCTTTGATTAATAGCTGTTACAGATGAGGTACTCAGCATACTTTCTTTTCCCATTTCTTTGCAATTAATGTTAGTTGTATCAATTTTACATTGAGGGCATATAACAAAAGGAACCCTGGTAGTGCAGTAGTTAAGTGCTCGACTGCTAACTGAAAGGTTGATTCAAGATCACTAACTGCTCTGTGGAAGAAAGATGTGTGGCAGTCTGCTTCCGTAAAGATTATAGCCTTGGAAACTCTATGGGGCTGTATCTTATTGAGTTGCTGTGAGTTAGAATCAACTTGATGGCAGTAGATTTGTTTTTGTTCAGGGCATATAACATTTCCACTCATTTGTCTCATTGTTTTATATTAGTTATGCTGTTAAATATATTCAGTGCTCACTACCAATTCTTTTGGATGATTTTCAAAGGAAAATGCTAAATTATAGAGCCTTGTTGATCACGGAATTCTCATAAACTTTATGATCTCATAAACTTATTAATTCTGCCTAATAGAGACTACCTATATCTCCAGCTAAACTTGGAAAAGAAGTACCAAATTTTAAACTCTGACCCAAAGAGAGAAAAAGTTGAATTTTATTTTTCTTTTAGTACTATAGAGATTTGGCATAAATTTTACGTTTTATTTATTGAATTTTTAAAATATTTGTAACAAAGGACTCAACTTTGAAGAAAGAAAAAGAAACTTAAACATGATAATTCACATTTTGCTTTAATTAGACATCAAATATGGGTTTAGCTTTCTTGAAACCAGGACAGTGAAGGAAGTAAAATTAAGTCATGGTTCTTAGCTCTCATATAAGAAACAAAGAAGCTTGTCATTTCTTCAGAGATAATTTATTTTAAATCACATAATTATTGATAAAAAAAGTCAACCTGTATATTAGAAATACTGAGTGAGATTACAGAAGATATGTCCATCAATACCATTAAAATAAGTAAAAAAAATGGATTTTTAATTGATAAGACATACCAGTTACAACTCAGTATTCATTGTGAGGAGCTAAAACTATTGATATTCAAGGATACGTGTTCCAGTTCTCTAATAATAATGATTCTCAGCTGTTTTTCCTGCTTCGATATGTTTGAGTAATGTTCATATTTGAGACTTATTCCTATTAGAAATATTGTTTCACAAAGAACTGCTGCAGAGATATACAGTGTTTTACAGTATACTTACTGTAACTCAGTCCTTCTCTCTTCATTGATTGGTATATTAGACAACACAAGTTGAGTTAGAACTGCTGGTTTAATATAACCCAGGAACAAGAAACGAGGAAAGGAAAAAGAAAATACTTATTGAATGTCTGTTATATTCCAGGATGTGGACTAGGTGTTTTTCATGTATTCTATGTCATTAACACAGAAGTATTTTGAGGCCATTGTTATTATTTCCATTTTTAGATGAGGAAGCTGAACCTCAGAGAAATAAAGTGATTTTACTATTCTGTAGTGAAGCATGGAATTCAAAACCATGTTGATCCTATTCCAAAGTCTAGTTCGGTGGAGTAGTGCCTAAGGCATTTGACTGATAACCAGGGGCTAGCGGTTCAAACCTACCGCCACTCCTTGGAAGGAAGATTGAGCAATCTACTTCTATAGTGACACTGCCTCAGAAACCCAAGAAGGGGTCTCTATGAGTCGGGTCTGACTTGACGGCAATGAGTTAGGGTTTGTTTTTTTTTTAATGCCTTTCCAAAACCTCTATAAAAAAGTCTTTTTCATTTAACAAATGGTTAAATGATATATTTAATAACACGATCTGTTCTACTAGGCACTGAGAATACAGATATACTAATGTAACATCTGTCTTCAAGAACTGCTGTTCTAGTTAATGAGACAGATGTGCCAGCCATAGAGTTTAATCAGTATAGGTAGGAATGGGTTAGGTTTTAATTTCAGGGAAATGAAATTGATAGAATCCCTGATACATTAGAACGTCTTGAAAGGAGACTGAGATAACTAATGCAGCGTTTTGGTGGTAGTTCTAATTTGCTAAAAAACTAAGCCGAAGAGGGGGGAAGTTTCATAGAAAGCAAAAGTTGCATAGGTGAGGAAATGTAATCATAGTTTGGATGGGAATAGTATTCATATATATTCATAATAATGTATATATAAAATATTTATATTACCAAAATTGTAATCGATCTCTTGAAGGAAGAGAGAAGAGAAAAGGTATCTATTTTTATGGATGAGGGAGAAGAAAAAGAGAAATTCTAATCTTCTTAAATACCTATCTAAAACTGAAAAACTAAGAAGTAGAAGTACTTATTTAGAAACATGGAAGTGTAAATACCAAAATACTGAGTTTAAAAAA